CCGGGGGTCCCGCTGCGCGCAGAGTCCGCCTGCTCCTGCGGCAGGTGGTGGGCGGCGGCGCGGCCGCGGCGCGGTACGGCCGCTCCGAGGTCAGGGCGCTGCACAGCTCAGGTAACTCACCCCGGCCCCCGGGTGTCTGGGCCCCCGCAGCCTCCCCCGACTGCCCCTGTTCCGGCCACAGCCCCGGCGCTGCCACCGGTCCGTGGGGAGGCCGGCGGGCAGGTACCACCTTGTGGGCTGAGGCTTGTCCGGGCTGCGCTGCCGCCCCTGTGTGTCATGCTCGTGAGTGCGGGGGGTCCGCGGAAGGGCAATGGAGTGCAGGTCCCATGAGGAGCGTCTGAGCGCGCTGGGATTGTTTAGCCTGGAGAACAGGAGGCTCAGGGGGGACCTTAGCACTCTCTACAAATCCCTGAAAGGAGGCTGTAGCCAGGTGGGGGTCGGCCTTCTCCCAGGTAACAACTGACAGGATGAGAGGGCATAGCCTCAAGCTGCACCAGGGGTGATTTAGGATGACTTTAGGAAGGATTTTTTCACAGGAGGGTTGATTAAGTATTGTAATGGACTTCCCAGAGACGTGGTGGAGTCCCCACTCCTGGAGGGGTTTAAGGAACGACTGCATGTGGCACTTGGTGCCATGGTCTGGTTGACATGGTGGTGTTTGGTCATAGGTTGGACTCGATGATCTCAGAGGTCTCTTCCAACCTGATTGATTCTAACCTGGCACGAAGGGAAAAGGGCAAGAGTTCAGTCACCGGCTTGCAGGGACGCTTACTGTGGCTCGTAAAAGCTCCTGGCCCAGGTGCTTCAGCCACAGTGAAGCAAGGGCTAGCCCTGCAGCTCGTCCCTGTGAGAAGCGCCCTGCTCTGTAGTGCTTGTCTGCCACATCTTGCCTTGCTTTCTGTTCCTGCATCACATGGCTTCCTTTTTCGGCCGGGGCAGAGCCTCGGTGTTTGTGTCGGGGGCTGCCAGGGCTGGTGCGTGTCTGAGTGTGCTGGCAGCATATGGTAATGAGATAGAGGGTTGACCTTGAGCCTGCAGATGCCGTGAAGGATGACCTGAACTGCCCTGGAATATCCTCTGGTGACCTTTGAGACAGGTGATGGGCCTGTGCAGAGCAGAAGTGGAGTCTGGAAAGGGTGACATATGCCCGTGGTAACTGACACTTCTCAGGATGAACGCCAAAAGCAACAAAGCTCCTAAGTACAGAGTGAGTGATGAGCAGTGATCTGCAAGTGATTCTGATGGGGGAGTACTTGCTTAAGCTCTTAATGCACCCCTTTAATCCAATTTCTCTCAATTTTAATATTTTTTGATCTGTTTATTGGTTGACCAGTTCACTTCTTTGTTTAGTTTCTGAAAAGTTACTCAAGAAGGAAGCCTTTAAGGAATTGATAGCCATAAAATTTCTTCAAGAATTTGTGAATAGGTAATATTTTATTTGTGAAAAGTACTAAAAAGACTAGAGTTATTTAGCATCAAACAAATTAGGGTGAAAGAAAACAAGTTGACAGTGTAGTGAGTCAGTTAAACCTGAGACATCTCATTTTTTGTAGTGCTTCCAGTTTTTCTGTGAATTTGGGACCATGATATTAAGAATACTGGTGTTTTTTCCTGTTTTTGTTTTGGTTTTTAAATTAATTTTTAAAATGTTTGCATGTCCTCTTGCAGACCCCTAGCATTTCTTTGAGGATACTGAAGTTATAAAGGATGATCTGAAATTTTTTGTGCTATATGTGATTTTACTATTTCTGTGCAGCTGCTGTAATTACAATTCTTGTTGTAAGCGGTGTTGAGGTTGTATGTCTCTTCCATAAATAAACAAAATGTGTCTTAAAAAGCAGGAAGTTGTTAAGAGTCAACAAAACAGCAAATCGTTGTGTGTACAGTAATTTGGATGTAACATCCCTGCCAGGTTGGATTTACTGTCTGTCCTGGTACCTTTTGAGTGTAAAGGAGGAATTGTTGCCTGATGTTGTGCTGTTACATGTGAAAAAGCCATCCTTCTTAGCCTTTCAGCTCGGTCTTTGGAAAGAGAATGTGGCTTTCTGCTTCACTAGGGGCTGCGGAGGAATTGCTAAAGCTATCAAGCTGTAAAGCTTAAGAGAAATCTCAAAAGTGAAAGGGACTGCACGACAAAAGGGTAATGGGAATATCTAGGAAGTGTTCGGGGTTGCACAATGTAATTAATGAGGGAAACAATTTATAGTAGCAAATGTTGTAGAAGGTTGACTGTCGGAATAGTTTTTAGGGCAGGTTTCATGTTTCCTTCTAAAATACTAAAAAGTATCAAATTATTGTAGAATTACTTGTGATGAATTCATTTAAATGCACTATGAGCTGAACAAAGTGGAGTTCTACGTAGCTAAGTTCACTGTTATTTAATTATTTTAATCTATATGTAATATGAATAATTTTTAAAAAGCTGACAGAATACACAATATTGGAGTTGCTTTAAGGGGTTAGAGTGAACAAATGCTGAAATTGATGTAAACTGAAGGGCTGGAAAAATAAAAAGTGTTTCCAGTCAGATTCTACAGGCAAAGTAAGGTCTCTCCTGTGCTTTGCTGCTCAGTGTACATACAATAACTTACGCTTTGTCACTTCTTTAGACCAAAATATATACTAGCTACATTTGCTGTTTTCTGCAGCACTGCCTGTCCAGGTTCAGGACTCTTTCCTCCTTCCTTATATGAAATTTTTGGTCAATTTCAGTTCCTCATCAAACTTGTTTAAAGCCTAAAAGATCTCAGTAGTACATACAAGTGTATTTGCTGAGTAAAACACAGTCACTTGTGAAAATTGCATCACACTTCAGAATCCTGTATCGTTCATCATCAGTGTACAGGATCTAAATGATTGTGGTAAAAATCGATAATCTGAAAGAAGACTATGAATTTGACTGTGTGTGGGTTTTTTTCCAGGTTTATCATTGTCCAAAGACTAGAGAACTGGTTGATGATGGGTGTAAATGCTTTCTGGCACATTGCCTTTTCCAATTTTACCTGTGTCATTATCTTGTTGCAATTCACATGTTGGCAGCTGTGAGTGTATTTCTGATGATATTTTTTCACTGGCAAAACCTATTTATAAAGAGACTTAATTCTTTCTTCTTTCTCATGACATTCCTATAATTGTTCATTACCTCTGTAGTTGTACTTAGGGGGCTGCACTGTGGTGATTCCAGGGATTTGATTTATGGTAAGCCTTGTGTACGATTGTTCCATCAGCACAACTCAGAAGGCATCAACTGGAGATGAGAATTTTCAAAGCCAGTTGTCTGAAAGTTTGCAGAGTTATGCCTGTGTTATTTCAAATTATTCTAACATTTGGAAAAGAAAAGGTTCACGGTAAAAAAAAATTGTGAAATTGTGTATTTTATTAGACATGCTGATGTAGCTGGAACACAGAGGTGAAATGTCAGGTCAACTTCTGTAGGGCTTCACTTTTGGTATATGACTGGATATCAGTAAATAGTTTCTGAGTGTTAATATTTGCCAATTGTTTGAATTTTATTTTTTTTTTTCTGTTGAACAACAGTTACAGGCCTGATATGTGTTGATGTGTTCTACAAGTTGTGCCCAGCTCAATGCATAAGATTGAAGTTGTAGCTGCTTGGCATACTCAGGGACTCAGGATAGTTGTAGGCAATGTCATAGCTAATTTTAAAGCTGTTTTGTCAATTTTGGATAGCTTTTCAGTAAATGTGAAATTTTCAAAACATTTCTGTTGATTTTCAGTTGTAAATTCTTTTTGGTTGAAATACATTTTTAAAATTATACTAATGTATAATTACCCGTACATTTACAATTACAATGTAAATGTACGTTAACAATGTACTTGATACATAAGTTCAGTTTAGAATAGATAGTCTGTTTTTTTCTCCACTGAGCAAAATGTGCTTCAGAAATCTTTGTACAGTTTTAAAACACTCTGAGCTAATTTTTCACAAAAGTAGCACTGGCTACAGGAGATTGGAAAGGGAGCACTAGCGATGTGGTGGGCATCTGTTACCGTGTGACTGAGAGGAGCTGGTGGATATCACTTTTTGCAGACAGCTAGCAGTAACCTCCCACGCATGAGCTTTCATGCTCACAGGGGATTTCAGCCATGCAGACATCAACTAGGAGGGCAATCTGGCAGTGTGCATGCACTCTCGGTACTTCCTAGGCTGTGTTGGTAAAAATTTTGTAATGCAGATGCCAGAGTCAGGGTTAATTCTTCACTCTGTCTGCTGCTTTCAAATAGGGAAGAGCTGTGACCAGTTTGGTCACAGGTGACAGCCTGGATCTCAGTGACTGGAGCACGACTGAGTTGCATATCTGGAGGAAGGTAGGGAAGGTGAGCAGCAGAATTAGGATCCTGGACTTGAGGACTACAAGCTTTCACTTATTCAGGAGATTGGTAGGTAGAATCCTTTGGATAACCACCATGAAGATGGAAGGTGCACAGGAAAGCTTGAAAATTTTTAAAGAAAACTTAATGGCAACTCAGGAATGAACCATGCAGCAGTAGCAGAAGTCCTGTTTGGCCAAGCAGAGAACTTCTCAATGACCTAAACACAAAAGTGCAATTAAGGACAGACAGGAGTGTAAAAGTGCAATTCAGTATGTAAGGACAAAATCCCTACCATCTTGCCAGAGTGCAGACACTTAGTCCAGAAGGACCCTGATGAACATGAGAGCTGGGACACCAGAAACCTCAGAAAGTTTAAGAAGTACAAAGATCTGCTAGTGGACTAAAGTGTTGTTGGGAAGGGACTGGCTGAGTAACAGCTTTGCTGAAAGGGCTGTGGGATTGCAGTGATGTCTTGTTGAATACAGCAGGGGAAGAGACTGCCTAGAGTGACTGTGGCACATCTGTCTTTGAAGGTTTTTGAGATTCAGTCAGACAGAGCCACAATCTTATCACTGGTCACCAGAGAGCAGAGATCAG